TAACTGTTCTCAGAATTCTTTGACATCATGTCAACATGGCCACCACTTTCCAGGACTTTCCTTACTAATGCAGTTTTCCATTTTCTTAAAACTGCTTCATACTAAGTCCTCATGATCATCCTTTAAGAATATGTATCAGGGGAGGGGGGAATCCCATTTTGAAGAAAATGTTCAAAACTGGATTGTGGTAATGATTGTACAACTCTTGTTAATGTGATTGAACTACTAAATTGTGTGATGTGTGCATTAAGTGCCAAGAAAACTGTTTTTAGTTAAAAAAATCATAAAATCATAAGGCTAAATAAAAAGAATTCTGCTTTGGAAGTAACCTGAGCTGATCTTTGTTCTTTGAATTTAACTGGCCCAGCAAATCCCCTTGGAAGCCACTAATTTGATTGGACCTGCTTTTTGTGTGAAGGTAACTGACTGAGACTAAGATAAGTGTATTACCGCAAGAACTTATCTGCAGCCATTCACTGACCACAAAGACTTACTTAAGCACATTTTGTCTGGGAAAAATCCCACGCAAGTACGAACTGAAACCACAGTAGCAATACTTTTTGACTCGCCCTTGCACATAGTGCAGGATGACTCCATTTTTGTTGAGGTTTGAAAACAAAAAAGCACACAAAGATCCATGTCTTTGTGTGATTCAATAGAAAGACACCCACTGTAATTGGGTCGATTTCCATTCACAGTGACCCTATTAGCTGGGGTTCAATTGCTCTCAGGGTTTTCAAGACTGTACATCTTTATGGGAACAAAGAACCTCATCTTTTTCCTGTGGAGCAGCTGGTGGGCTTGAACCACTAATCTTGAGGTTAGCATGCCAATGCTTAACCCACATTGCCACCATGGAAAATACACACCAATAAATGAAAAGAAATATACCTAGCTATATTCAAGCTGCTTCCTTTTGCTCTCATGTATTTTATAAACCATGCTACACATGGTATTGTGTTTATAATAAAGGCTTGATGGCTTTTTTCTTTAAGACATGCAAGACACAATCTTTTCCTTCAAGGAGTGCCCTGTGTTTTAGAGGCAAACAACTTCTACACAACAGGTTGGTCATTTGAGCCCATCCACCGACTCCATTGGCGGCAAGCCCTGGGACTTTTCCCATGAGGCTTACAGTCATGGGAACCCTATGGGGCAAGTTCTCCTCTCGTCACATGGGGTTGTTATGGGTCAGAATAGGATTGACAGAGCCTAACAACACAACCAGGAGCCCTGGCAGCCTGGCCGGTGCACCAACACTGGACGTGAGTCACCCCTCAGTGTAATTTAAAGCCAGCAGCTGCTTCTCAGGAGGAAGAGGAAGCCTTTCTCATCCTGGAAACTCTGAACCGTGTTGTTCTGAGGCCGAGTGGACCCTGCAAGGGTGCCTACCCAGAAGGAAGGGCCATGGTGGGGTGGGAGGTTACTCGTTGAGCTGTTTCTCCCTTAGAAGGAAGAGGAGACTGTCTTCTCTCATAAAGATTTAAAAGTTTTAGAAACCCAAAGGCGTGGTTCTACGCCAGGGGTTCTCAACCTTCCTAATGCTACACCCCTTTCACACAGTTCCTCAAGTGGTGGTGACCCCAACCATGACATTATTTCCGTTGCTACTTCATCACTGTCATTTTGCTACCGTTATGAAGCGTCATGTCCATATCTGATCTGCAGGATGTATTTTCATTGTTACAAATTGAACATGATGAAAGCACAGGGATTCATCACGAAACAATATGTAAGTATATATTGTGAAATACTTATGTATTTTCCAAGGGTCTTATGCGACCCTTGTGATAGGGTTGTTCGACCCCCAAAGGGGGTTGAGAACCGTGGGTCTACACTGTTCTGTCGGGCCACCAGCAGGCACCATCACCTCGAAGGCAGTAGGTTTGGGGTAACAGCACCCGGCCATCTGTCCAAGGAAGAGTGAGGCTGTCTGCAGGGAGGATACACTGACAACTGGGAATGCCATCCCCCCCCCCCACCATTTCTTACACAGCTTCTCAAAATCCATGTTTCTATGAAAATAACTTGCCGATAAATCAGCCCTCCTTGAAACAGTTTCTATGACAAAATGAATTCAAATTCCCAGTAAGTTATTTTGAAAGACAATTTTTGGAACACAGCTCACCTGGGAAGGGATCGGAGGGACTGGGGGAAATGCTGTTGCCCAAGGCTAGGTGTTCGTCACCAATAAAACCCGGTAAAAAGAAAACATACCAGAACCCATCATTGAGAAAACAATTCCTCTGCTAGCCACTCAACGCTCTGGGCGTTGGGGGGGATGACATTCTAAAAATGCAGTATCTATCGAGTCCCTGGGTGGGACAAAGGGCTAAGCCTTTGAATGCTGGCTGGAAAGGTGATGCAGCCGGAAACAGGCCCAACAGGCCAACAATGGCCAACAGCAGCAGCACGTTACGTCAGTAACAAAACTCCATCCACCTTGTCATAAACTATCCGTGAAACAATACTCTCAGAAGTCACCACCGACATCAAAGTGAAACTTTCTGCCACTGCCAGACAGGCTAGACACACCCCTCGGCTGGTTACCGATTAACTTTGAGATCATTCCACGCAAGCTTGTTGTGGAGGACAGTTCTTAAAAGGATCTTCTACCAAAGGATTGGGTGGGACTATGCAAACAGGATATGTGTATCGCTAATCGAGGGGACAGGTCAAATTTCACTACCCCCACCCCACCCCCGACACACACGCGCACACCTCTAAGCCATCTTTGAAGTAGTAGTAGTAGGAAGGAGAAACCTGGAGGACCTTGCTGTTGTTAAGCGTCGTCAAGTTGGCCCATCTCATAGCGACCCCGTGTACAACAGAACAAAGCGCTGGCTGGCCCTGGGCCACCCTCACAATTGTTCTTGTGTTTGAGCCCACTGATGCAGCCACTGTAGCAATCCATCTCAGCAAGGGCCTTTACCCAGCATGATGTCCTTCTCCAGGGACTGGTCTCTCCTGACAACGTGTCCAAGTACATGAGACAAAGCATCATCATCTTGGTCTCTAAGGAGCAATCCTCATGGTCTTCTTCCAAGATAGATTTGTTTGTTCTTTTGGCAGTCCGTGGCACTTTCAATATGCTTTGCCCGCACCATAATTCAAATGCATTGAGGCTTCTTCATTCAGTGTCCAACTTTTACCTGCATACGAAGGGCCTGAAAAGCCCATAGCTTGGTCAGGCACACCTTCATCCTCAAAGTGACCTCCTTGTATCTCTTGACGGCTGCTTCCATGAGTACTGATTGTGGAGGACTGTGCAAGAGCATATTCAAGGTCTGGGTCTGAAGGGGCGGAGGCTGCCAAGACCAGATGCATCAGACCGTGGCACGGAGACTCAGAAGAGCACAGGCAAGACTCCGGGACGCCTTCTTCTCGGCTGGCCTGAGTCTAAGGAACGGTGGGACAGGGGGACGAGTGGGCTGCCTTCCTGACCCATGCAGGCAAAGGACAATCAAGGACCACATGGCAGACAGGCTGCGAACTGACCTGTGGTAACCTATTTATTGACTTCCCTAACAACCTTCCTTGATTTTGAGTATTGACTGCGAAATCAGCATGGCCATTGCCATGGATTAGGGAACCAATGTAGATGTAGAACATAATGGGAGGGACAACTGGAGTCAGCAGAGATAAAGAAGGATGGAGCATGGAGACGTGGCGCTGGGGAAGTCAGGCGAGGCCAGCTACATTCACTTCGATTGCAAGCATCTTTCCTTTAGGCCTGGGTAGAGGGCCATTTTTTCTGCCAAGAGCCATTTGGGTATTTATAACATTAGGCACGGGCCATACAAGAGCATCAACTTCAAAATTATCCTGTGGTAATTCGTGATGGCGAGAGGAGCCTCAGTGGCATAGTGGTTACGAGTTGGGCTTCAATCCACAAAGTCTGAAGTTTGAGAGAGCACCCTGCACTTCATGGGAGAAAGACGGGGCTTTCTTCTACAGTGAACAGTTATGGTCTCAGAAACCCACAGGGGCAGTCTGCCTTCTTCTATGGGCCACGGTGAGTCAGAATTGACGAGATGGCCGTAGGTTTGGTTTGGAATGTGATGACTACAATGGGTTCTATTTGGTGAGTTGGGTGAGGTTAGTACCAGTGATGTTAACTGGTAATGACTTCTTGGGTCTTAGATGGCCCAAGGCCTGGACGTCCCCCACCCCTACCCTGAAGGCAAACTTCAGAGGCCCTGCAGGTTTGATTTCCAGCCACCAAAGTAAAGCGAATCGAGCAACAGAGAAAGTAACCCACTTTCTGTTTCTTTCCCAGGACACACAGAAATCATGTTTACACTAGACCACAGTCTATAAGTGTGCGATAGTCATATAAAATATTTCTAATATTGTGAGAATTACTAAAATAGGACACCGAGATGCAAAGTGAGCGCACGATGTTGGAAAAATGGTGCCATCAAAGCTGCATGAAGCAGGCTTGTCACAACCTTCAACTCGCATTTGAGTCGAATCTCCATGCTGAATTATTTAAAGTTCTATTTAAAAACAACAACAAAACCGAATCTGTGAAAATTAAAAAAGCTGATCTTGACTTCTCATGTTTCTTTTAGCAAACATAAGAATGGAACATAGTTGCCAAACATTTTGTTGTTGTTGGTATGATGCTATCTTTTCTAAGGCTTTTAAGTCTAGACTGAAATGGCTCCATTTTCCAAGTCGGTCACTCTATCAAGAAGACTCTCTGCAGATCAAGACTTCCTAAGACTCCCCGCACACAGGGTGTCACAGGTCAGAACAGCAGAACACTGGCAGCATCCCGACGTGTGTGGAATGTCAGGAAAGCCATTTGTCGTCACCCATAACCTTGCCACAAGGTTACACAGCCTAAACCGAGTCACGCACCCACACCCACACTGCAAAGCCTCATTCTGAAACGGTGACAAGGACACCCGATCAGAATTTCAGCTGGACGTCCTTGCTTCAGCAGTCAAGCCCCACTTAGCTTAGAGATCTCCAGGGACACCAGTCAAGGATACAAAGATGTAGTCGTCCATGTATCTCTTCTTTAGATTCTCCACGATAGCGTTCTCTGTGATCTTGGACAGCAGCACCATGTCGTCCACGCCGCTGTGCTTGACATTGTGGCTCTGCCAGTGGTACCGGTAGGCACCCTTGCTCCCCTGCGAACACAGAACACACAATTATGAGGATAATTGGTTTCCGCCTGGATTTTTATTTTCAGTCACGAATATCCCAAATAGGCTCAAATGAAATGTAGCGGAATGAGCTAACATGAGAAGGGTTTCTTTGATATCAATAGATCTTGAACCCGAGAAAGGGGGAACCGAGCACAAGGATCGACATAGAACTCCTACCTAGGGAGATGGACAACAGAAACGTGGGTGAAGGAAGACAGCAGTCGGGGTAAGACATGGGAGGGAGGGTGGTGGAGGGCAGGAAAAATGAGGAGCTGATATCAAGGGCTCAAGTAGAAAGAAAATGTTTTGAAAATGATGATGGCAACATATGTACAATTGTGCTTGACACAATGGATGGATGGATGGATGGTGATAAGAGCTGTAAAAGCTACTGTGGAAGTCACCTAATCTGGTGTCAATTTAAGAATAAAGAGTGTAGGGGTGGAGTCTAAGCTGTCAATCTGGAGATAGCCAATGAGACTTCTGTGTGGGCGTGGCCTTCTCCTGAGAATTCTGGGAAATCTGGTCATTCCTTCTCGGAGGCAGGAGAGACACTTCTCCCTAGGAGACATTGCAGCTGACAAGACCTCTGAACCTGGAGGAGCCACATAGAGACCCCTGCCAGCGCTGAGATGCTTACAACACTACTAGATCCAAAGACTTTCCACCCACTGGCCTGTGATCATCCTGCATTCGGCATCATTGCATGTGTTTTGAGTCTGAAGAGGACTTTATGGATTGCTGTCGGACATATGGGCTAATGTTGGACTTATGGACTTGATCTGGACTGGGCTGGGATGTTTTCTCAATGTTTAATTGCTTTCGTATATGAGTCTCTTTCTTATACACATTTGGGTGTCATGGATTTGTTTCTCTAGTCTACTCAGACTAACACAGCTACCAGTAAAATGATAATAATAATAATTTTTTAAAAGTAGATCTTGGACGCAAGTTCCAGCTCTGTCACCTGCAAGCTAATGAAGTGGGGGAATGTTCCCTATGTGCTCGGAGTCAATTATGCTTAGTTTTCTCATCTGTAAAACAGATGGCTGAACCCCAGGAGTTGCTGTGAGGATTAAACACAGCAGCACATAGGAAGTCTGTTACGAGTCTAGAACATAAGCTCTTTGATCTGTCAATCTTTTTTTTTAAAATCAATTTATTGGGGCTCATACAATTCATCACAATACATAGATCAATTGTGTAAAGCACATCGATACATTTGTTGCCCTCATTATTCCCAAAAT